TAAATAAATAAATAAATAAAATGAAAGACTCTCCTATGAAACGACATCAGAATAATCATCACTCATATGATGACTCAAACTTTATTAGGATTTATTTAGGAGTTTTGCTCCTAAAATACGTCTGTATGGATGACTGACAGGAGTCTAGCCCTATCAGTCATCTTTTCTGGTACTGCCCTACATATGGAGAAAAAAGTTTTTCCATCTTGAGTTGTAGGCCTAGAAAATCATGGTTCAGGTTATGAGGAGGGTATGCATGTGTGGACCCACAGTCAGCAAAGGTTCTTTACTTCAGACAGTCAGCCTCCACTGGTACGGAGGGCAAGAGAGCCCAGGAATGAAGGGAGGGATCCCCTTCTCCCCCCTCCTTGAATCTGGATACAACAAGCTCTTTTTAAATGACTCAGCTGGACTTTCCCCTATTCTGCTCAGCATCTGATTCAGACTGGCCACTAATGGCCCACAGACGGTCAGTCTCTCTGACTAAGGTTCATGGGCTCTGCCACTTGAAGAGAAATCCTTATCAGTAAAATTTGGAGACTCTGACCTCACACATTTTAAAGGTCCTCTCTCTTTTGGGCGCAAGTAAGGCCATGGGTCATCTCTCCTCTTGAGCACCTTGATAAGGCCTCACGTGAACACAAAAACAATCTAGAGACTCCTTAGCAGGTGTTTGCTTCTCTGTCCATTAAAAAAACAAACAAAAACAGGACCTTCAGCTCAAGGTGGAAGAGACATCAAGATTTCCAGTCAGTCGCCACTTCCTGAGAGGTTTGCTAAACTTATGCACAAAGCAGACTGTGCTAAAGATAGCTGCTTGTGTGACTTAGAGATGCCAACCTAATCTGCAGGTGTTTGGTGGCTCGTAGCCATAAACAAATGTCTCTGATACAAATGCTATACTGTCTTTTTAAAAATATTCTGTTCTGGGTCCTTTTGTGTTCTGGAAGCGACTCACTGCCGAGTCCTGCGTTCACAGGAGGTCTTCTTCATACCACAGAGGACAGGAAGGAGCCCCTGAGGACTCATGACGAGAGAAAACCTTCCTTTTCTCATGTTTAACATACAGTATTAGGTTCCTAGCCAGCCAGCTACTCCAAGGACCGCACCAAAAGTGTGATTCAGTAACTTAGAATACTTGATGATTGTTAGCTGCCTAGAGTGGTCCTGAGTTGGCTAGATAGATATAAAATAAATAAATAAA